CTACAGGATTCCCATCACTGTTCACTTTGGGAGCTGCTCCTCATCCTATCCCCTACCACTCCCTATCTTCCCAATACCATTCATAGCACCTCCAGGGCATGGGGAGAGAATTGAGGCTGTTTCACATCTGGTACATCCAGTAAAAATTTCAGGAATTCAGAAAACAGATTTTTTTTTTGAGAGGTTTTTGCTATAGGGTGCGTGCACTCACTGGAAAGATAGAGAGAGACAGAGAGATAGAAAGTGAGAAATCACCCCCCCAGGGGGAATGGCCACACCACAATCCCTTCTCCTCCATTTTCCTCTTGGGATCTTGGGCACGCACGCACACGTGCCCGGCGTGAGTTTAAGCCATTAAGTCCAGGATTCGAACTGCGGTCGAATACATGGGAGTCCAGCGATGTAGACATTACGCTTACTACTGGTCCCCCAGAAAACAGATGTCTTCACTTTAGATCATACAAACAACCTTGAACAAGGGGACTTTGTCAGTAGGTAATAAACTGGGACAGAAGATTTGATTTGACTTAAATGTTTCCCCTAAAAATTCATGTTGAAATTTGGTTGCTACTGTATTAAGATGGTGAAGGGCCAGCACATACTGCAGTGGTTTAGCGCTGTGCATTGGAAGCTGAATCCCACATGGCCTGATCACAGTGGCTTGAAAACTATATCGAGCACGTGTGTATGCATGCCCCAATTCTGATGGGATTAAGAAATGGAGGAAAAGGACTGAGGCATGACTGTATGCCACTGGGGGGGATACTTCCTCTTTTTCTCTTTTTCACTGATGAGTGCACATGCCATCTGGCAATTAAAAAAAAAAAAAAAAGGTGAAAATGTCAAAACCTTAAGCCATTCTTTCTGAGCTTCTTTTAGGGACCACGATTGATACATGGAATTCAGCTCAAGACAAACAAGTTGATTTAATGATCAGAAAGGACACAATATATTAATACACTTCTTCAAGAAGGGTTACCTAGAAGCTCCTTTATGGTACTCTCATTAATGTGCTTCTAGGAGTAAGTTAGTTGCCTTTCCCTTAAAAAAAAAAAAAAAATTCACATTCACCAGCTGATAAAACTTACTGTACTCATTGTTGATCTTTGGCTCCGACCTACAGAAAAGGAAATCTGTACCAAGGTTTGCAGGGCAATCAAATGTCCTCAATCTCTCATGCCCATTGGTTACTCATCCTGTGACTTTCCGAAGAGTTTGGAGTCAGATAGGTTCCCAGTATTTCTCAAGTCCTGAAAGACAAAGATATTGACTTGATAAATGCTGCTGCCTGCATCACTGATAACAAAGTTCAGCTCAATAATTTACCTGGGTGCTTTGTTGACCATTTAACGTAATTTATATCCTTAATCTCACATTCATCTTAGAAGTAAGCATTCTTAAAGAATATGGGTCTGCCTGGTCCTAAAGCCTGCAACCAGAATTACTATGCCATCTCCTGCCCTCCTTTCCAGCTCCTGCAACCCTAGCAAAGTACTATGCTAGCTGATGCGAAAACAAAGAATCAGAACAGCCACATACAACTATGCCAACTCCTCAGCAACCAGGAAGAGACAGTTTCTGAGGCCAAAGAGGACCAGCAGATGGCCTAACAGTTACATCGTTGTACTCCCACATGGCCGACTGCGTTTCATTCTCTTGACCCGGTGGCTTGAAACTCATGCTGGTCCCCTACTGTAGCTTCCTCTTTACCTATGGTTATGCTTTCCAGAGTTTCAATTACTCATGGTCAACCAAAATGTGTCCAAAAATACATGAGTACAGTACAGAAAGATATTCTGAGGCCACATTCACAACATTTTTATATTATATTTTTATAATTATTCTAATATTAATTATTGTTCCTCTCTGATTATGCCTAACTTATAAATTAAACTTGATCATAAATATGTATCAGGTTGTCAGGAAAGTCAAGACATATTTTTCTATGCAAAAATGCATCATGATTTGGAACCAGCAGTTAGTGTAATGGCTATGTCACTGGACTTCCATGCAGTCGACCATGGTTCGGGTCCAAGACCCAGTGGCTTAAACTCATGCCAGGCGTGTGGGCGTGTGTGCTCAAGATTCCAAGAGGAAAATGGAGGAGGAAGGATTGCAGCGTGGCCATCCCCCCGGGGGGTGATTTCTCACTTGTTGTCTCTCTGTCACTGTCTTTCTGGCGAGCACACCCACCCTATAGCAAAAACCTCTCCACACACACACATACACACACACACACACACCAACCCAATACATATAAGAAGCCGCAGTATATACAGCATTTGGTACTATCCACCATAGTTTCAGGCATCCACTGGGAGTCTTGGAATCCATTCACTGCAGATAAGAGGGGACTTTTTTTTTTTTTTGGGAGAGGTTTTTGCTATAGGGTGTGTGCACTCGCCAGAAAGACAGAGAAAGACAGAGGGACAGAAAGCAAGAAATCACCCCCCAAGGGGGATGGCCACACCACAATCCCTTCTCCATTCTCCTCTCGGGATCTTGGGCACGCATGCACACATGCCCAGCGTGAGTTTAAGCTGCCGGGTCCAGGACTCAAACCACGGTTGACTACATGGGAGTTCAGCGACATAGCCATTATGCTAACTGCTGGTCCCAAGACAGTACTATTGTATATCACATACACAGGAGTCTGAAATACATAGTGGTTAGACTGTTAGGCAGAAACAGGAAAAATGCTAGATTGGAACCAGATTCTATTGCCATATTTCACACCACTGAGTTCCAAGTCAGCAGAAAAGGAGTAGGGAAAAGGGCACATCAGCAACAGAATGAAGCACGCCACAGAGATGTAGTAACGAGAAGCCCTTGACACCAGTCCTTAAACCAAGTCAGGAGAACAGTGTTCAATATAATTCAGAGGCCTAACCTCCATGTAGGGTTCCTCGCACAATCACCAAGTAATCTTGATCTTAGGGAACCAGCAGTTAGCGTAATGGCTAGGTCGCTGGACTCCCACGTAGTCGACCACAGTTCGTGTCCCGGACCCAGTGGCTTAAAACTCACGTCGGGCGCGTGTGCATACATGCCCAAGATCCCAAGAGGAGAATGGAGGAGAAGGGATTGCGGTGTGTCCATCCCCCCGGGGGGTGATTTCTCGCTTTCTATCTCTGTCTGTCTCTGTCTGTCTGGCGAGCGCACGCGCCCTACAGCAAAAACCTCAAAAAAAAAAAAAAAAAAAAACACAACTTGATCTTAATGTGGTTCCATGTGCATTTTCCTATGGGAAGATGTGCAGGCACACTGGGTCACTCATTCTATGTGTTTGCAAGCACACACATTCCTGATGTGTTTTTCAAGCCACCAGGGTTGGGATTCAAACTATGGTCAGTCATATGGGACCCAGCACCCTTAATAGGCTATGGGCTAGTCCCACATCTTCCCTTTTAAAACGATAAACATATACAGCCATTCTTTAGCTAATGAACTATCTGTTTAAGGACCTCTCAGACTTCAATCTGTGTGAGTCTCAGGAATCCCCTTTCTCAGTCTTCATCTTGCTCCCACAGGTGGCTAATAATCACTACATGTAGTGTTTGCAATCACACACACTGCATATTTTATTTATTTGTACTTTTTTGTTCAATCACAGTAGTATTCAGAATAAAGAAAAACTATTATGCTGAATTTATTATACATTGTGCTTCGGTGTTATCTTGTCACCTCTGGGCACTTATCTAAAGTATGCTTTTGAATAGATACAATTACACTATTCTAGTGTGGTGTCACATGATTTCTATTGAAAAATACATAACCTGGGCCAGCAGGTGGCATGGTGATTAAGGCACTGGACTCCCACATGGCCGACTGGAGTGCAGGTCCCAGACTCAGTGGCTTGCTTCCTCACATTCTGTCTCTCTCTGGTGAGCACGCATGTCCTATAGCAAAATTTAAAAATAATAAATAATTTTAAAATCTTTTTTGTTTTTAAATATTTATTTATTTATTGGGAGCAGGTGACAAGGTAGTTAACTCCCACATGGCCTACTACGGTTCGAGTTTTGAACCTGGAGGCTCGTTTACAAAAAAAATTTAATTCCATTTGTTATTGTTATTTTTTTAATTTGACCAGAGAGGAGAGAGTGAGAGTGAGAGCGAGAGAGAGAGAGAGAGAGAGAGAAAGGGAAAGTGAGAAAGCAAGCTGCCAGGTCCAGGACTTGAACCATGGTTGGCCATGTGAGAATCCAGCACCTTTAACCAAACCATGCCACCTGCTGGTCCCATAAATAATTCTTAAAAAAAAAAAAAAAAAACATATCCTATAGGGCTATCACACACAAGACATTTACCTTTTGGCTCCCTGCTTATCAACAAATTCATTTACCAATCTAGATCTAGTAGCAGAAACTCAGCTCTTTTTTTTTTAAGAATTATTTTATTTATTCATTTATTTTAATTTGACCAGAGAGGGAGAGAGGGAGAGAGAGAAAGAGAGAACGCAAGCCACAAGATCCAGGACTTGAACCATGGTCAGCCATGTGGGAGTACCCAGTGCCTTAACCACCACACCACCCACTAGTCCCCAAACTTAACTCTTAAGTGAAGAGTAGTACCTGTAATTGTTCCTCTGTTATTTTAAATACCTCCATGGGGCCAGCAAATGGCACGGTGGTTAAGGTGCTAGACTCCCACATGGCAAACCAGTCTGAGCCTCAAACCCAGTAGCTTGAAAATTATTCTGGAAATTATTCTGGCATGTGTGTACACATGCCCAAAATCCCAAGAGGAGAATTGAGAAGGAATTGCAGAGTAGTCAAACCCCCGAGGGGTGACTTCTTACTTTCCTCCTCTCTGTGTCTCTCCTGAGAGCACATGCACTCTGGCAAAAATTTAAAAATAACAAAAGAAAACAAAAAGCCTAATTGGAATTTCAAAAGTAGGATCATAGAATGTTTTAAAGAACAAAAGTATTTTAAAGATTATTGCTGGGACCAGCAGGTGGCACGGGGGTTAATGGCACTGGACTCCACATGGCTGACCGCAGTTCAAGTCATGGACCTGGTGGCTTGCTTTCTCACTTACTCTCTCGCTCTGTCCCTCTCTGGTCAAATTAAAATAAAATAACTCTTAAAAAAAAAAAAAAAAAAGACTATTCTTGTGGGACAGCTGGTAGTATAGTGGTTAAGGTGGCTGGATCCTGCACAGCCAGCAATGCAAGTTCTAGTGCCAGACTTGGTGGCTTAAAAAAACATGCTAGGCAGGGTCAATAGGTAGCATGGTGGTAGGGGTGCTGGACTCCCAATGGTCGACCAGGGTTTGAGTCCTGTACCTAGGGGCTTGAAATGATTCCAGGAGCATGTGCGTGCATGCCCAAAATCCAAGGAAGAAAATGGAGGCAAAGGGATTGTGGTTGGCCATCTCCCCCAGGGGGTGTTTTCTCACTTTCCCTCTCACTGTCTCTGCCTCTCTCTAGTGAGCACATGCGACCCATAGCAAAAACCTTCAAAAACAAAAAAGAAAAAAGGACATGTTGGGTATGTGTGCTTATATATCCAAAATCTCAAGGGGAGAGAATGGAGCAGAAAGGATTGCAGTCATTTCCCCTGGAGGGTGATTTTTCTCTCTCTCTGGTAGAGTACATGTGCCCTACAGCAAGTAACTGTTGTTGTGTACTGTTCAATAGCTTTCATAAAGAGAGTAAAAAAAATACCCAAGACTGTTGTCAATCAATGTTCAGTGCCTAGCACAACCCACCCTCCTGTGAGATGGGCATGAACATTACATAACTTTCATTTCAAAGCTTCTTAAATAAAACTTTAATGCTACTGTCACATCAATCAGTACATCTTGGTACTCAAGAAAAACACGAGCCTCTTGCCTATTAGACAAATGAGAGTACATAGGAAGCAGTCAGTAATTATGCAGCCATCTGAGCCTCGTAGCTTTGCACAAATACTTGACCTCAGAGCCTCTGTGTCCTCACGTTTAATATGAGAAAAATATCTTGTAACAGTGATGCTGAATGAAAGTGCCCAGGATGGGTTCAGGCACTCTGAGAGCATCAGCTAATTAATTCAGCTAATTAACTATTTACAGGTGCTTTGTCTGGGGCAGGTACTACTTCAGGGGATAGAAACACAATGGTGAAAAAACAACAAAAACCCATATCATGGAGCCTATGTTCTAACTGGAAAGATGATCAATAAATTAAGTAATAAATATGCATTATGTAAGAAGGGCCAGAAATCATAGTTCTTCTTATAAGTGTGGGTGCTACTAAATAAGAGCA